ATTTGAACAGTACAGTGAACAGTGAATAGTAATATTTGAACAGTGAACAGTGCAGTGAACAGTGCCGGAACATTGATCTTGGAAAATGAAAGTTGTCAGGAAAAAAAAATTCTGACAGTACCACTTTGGTCGGAATAGTGAGTAGAAAAATCTGTAAAGAAGCGGCCGGAGCAAAAAATGGCCAGAAATAGTGAAATAAAATCAAAGCAGCGAAAGACTGTTCTGAACAAAAATAATTCGAACGGGGAAAAAAAAAATTCTCAACAACAAACTGATGAAAAAAACTTCAATGCTCTGACACCATGTTAGAAACCAAAGAAGTTCTATATTTCATATCTAGAAGAGAAGATTACAAGGCCTATTTATAATACTAATTCACCTAATCTATTAGTTGTCATACACCTAATTACACCTACTATACAATTCATATACATGTGCTAGCTATGATGTAGTACATGTGTATACATGTGCTACACAACTTGTATTACACCTACTATACAACTCATATACATGTGCTAGCTATGATGTAGTACATGTGTATACATGTGCTACACAACTTGTATTACACCTACTATACAACTCATATACATGTGCTAGCTATGATGTAGTACATGTGTATACATGTGCTAGACAACTTGTATGTCAACACAGGAATTTAACTTCCTTTTTATTTTCTAATGAATCGTAGTCATTTCAAATGAAATTTGAAATCTAAATCAGTTGTTATTAGCTACCAAAGTGACACCACATATTTCAATCAAAATTCCCGGCTGTGGCTTAACTTATGATTAAGGTACACATTGCAAGTCAACTACAAAGAAGAGTAACTTCAGATTCGTGTTAGAATGTTAACTGTTAGCGATATAATGTCAGAGTAGAGTATTAGAAGAGTAATGTAATTGTGTTAGACGTCCCAGATTGAAAAATATAACATGTATTGTATTTAACACCTATAAATAGGTGTCTTATATTCATCAAATCATCAGGTATTTAATACATCTTCTATTCTCTTAAAATTCTCTCACAGTACAACTCTATTCTTTCTCCATATTCCCATCACCTTAAACACAGATTGCTGAAGAAATATAAGTCATGGTTAAGACATAGTTTCATCAACTTTTAATCCTCAAGGTTCTGATTTCAGTTGTGCAGAAATCAGACACCTTGTCTTCAGTGGTACTTAAGGCAGATCGACTACATCTTTTTGTGGACGATTAACTGAAGACGATGTAATACTTATATATACTACCGTATTGTAAAACAAGATACCAATCACCTTCCACGTGGAAAAATAATCAAAATAAAATGCAACATATATGGTTAACCACGTTAATTTTTTTCCAAGAAGTCGAAAAAGTACTCTATCGAGCTGGCATAATCATTTCTAAACTGGACTTACTTGTAAGCTAGCTCCTTCAAGCTTTCGCTCCAACCCTCTAGGTGCTGATCTAAAAGAGCACGCGTCCTAGAACTCACCTGAAACACGTCTGGAGTACCCAAAACCAGTTCTAAGATCACTACACCAACACTCCACATGTCATACCTGTTCAACACAAACATAATGAGAAGCTCTGTGAGACTAGTGCATGTAACATTTACAATAAACACTTGTGATTAAGCTGATGTTCTTGAGGTTTTTTTTTTTGGGG